GCCCCTCAATGTCCTGCACTGGGGACCCAAAACTGATTCCAGGATTTGGGGTTTGGCCCCAGCAGTGCCCAGCACAGGGGGACGGGCACTGCCCTGGTCCCAGTGGCCGTGCTGTGGCTGAGCCAGATGCCCGTGGCCTCCCTGCCCACCTGGGCACACCCGTGTCCTTTCCCACGGGACACAGGCGTGGGCTCACCAGGCTCTGCCTCCTGGTGGTCAAACCCCCACTGTGACCCCACTGCTGTTACACCCAACAGTCCCAGGCATTCCCAGGGGAATATTCCCTGGAATACCACAAGCCCCGAGCAGAACATCACGAGGTCACTCCACAAACCCGCCGACACGGTGCTGCTGTGCAGGCCTTCTCCACCCACAGAGCAAACAACAATCAAGGAACAAGGGGCCCTTGTTCCACCCCCCCCTTCAAACCCACTGTCCAACGGGTCCTTCCAACAGCCACGGGCTCATCCTGCTTCTGCTCCTCCCCTCGGGGCACAGGAGCAGCCTGGCCCCGTGCTGGGAGCAGTTCCTGCCATTGAGGTCGTGCCTTTGATGTGGGGCTTTGAGCTGGGCTGGTCCCTGCAGGGCAGGCAGGATCCTCACGGATCCTTCTGGAGCAGTTTTGGGGCCAACATCTTGTTTTGCTCCACACACAGACACCCTGTGGGCTGGTGGTGACACCGGGAGCCCTTCACCTGCTCACCCTGACCCCTTAGTCCAGCCCTTCCAGGTGATGTCCCACTGGGAGCCCCAGGCACAACACCTCAAACTGGCACAGACAGCCCATCGTCCCAGCAAAGGTAACTGGTGAACTGGGTGGTGACTGGTGCTGGGGTAATGGTTGGACAGGATGATCTCAGAGAGCTTTTCCAGCCTTGATTCCCCAATTCCACTCCCTTGACCACCTTCCAGGTGTCCCCTGGCACTGGCACCACCAGGGTTGGGACCTGGAAAATCTTTTCCTTTGCACGGACTTGGGGGTTTCCCCGTGGGGAGCAGCACAGGGTCCATCCCTGTGGGATTCCTGCCCCCTCCCTCTGCCCCACTCCTGCCCACGACCTGAGAGGACAAAGCCAGCAGCGACCTCTGCTCCCGTTGCACGAGGACAGGTCATCTGCCCACATCTGAACAGGTCAGACCAGCTTGTTTCCTGCCCATCCCTCACCCCATCCCACATTCCAGAGCTGGGATATGCCTGGGTGCAGGAGGGCACGGGGGGCTGAGCCCAGCCCTGCTCACCTGCTCACACAGGTGTCCTCTCCAGGAAATTTGGAGCATGACCTGGTTCTTTCCACAGAAACACACGGAAACAACTCCCTGGCAGGGAGGAGCAGCTTCCTCCCAGCCTGCTCAGGAGCAGCTCTCTTCCCAGCCTGCCCCAGCTCCTGGATTTGGGAGCCGAGCGTGGGACAGGCGGCTGACGCACACCTGAGACTGTGAGAACTTTCACCACCTGTAATAAACCACCCGCGTCCAACCCACAACAACACGGGGCCGTTATTCCACCACCGGCTGCACCGTCCCGCTCTCCCACACCTCGGGAGCTCGTCCGAGGGCTCCCCTGCCCGTGGCCGAGCCTCCTCCCAGCGCGGGGAGGGCCGGAACCCCTTCCGAGCGCACCTTCACCCACAGCCACGCGGACCTCGGCCGGGAGCGCAGAGCCCCGCCCAGACACAGCGACATTCCCTGAACTGCCCCGGGAACGGGGAGAGCAGAGCCCTGCCCGGACACAGCGACATTCCCTGAACTGCCCCGGGAGCCTCCGGCACGGGCCGGACTCACCGTCCGCACCGGGACGCGCCGGGAGGCTCCGGAGCTGGGACCGGGGACACCGGATGGGGGATCTGCAGGGACAAGGACACGTGTCCGGGAACCTCAGCCCGGGCAGGACGAGCTCCATGGGATCTCAGAGATCCCAGGGTTCCATGGCGGGGATCCCGGGGCTCTGTGACTGTGATCCCAGAGGTCCCAGGGCTCCATGGGTAATCCCAGGGTTCCATGGCTGTGACCCCGGGGATTCGAGAGATCCCAGGGTTTCATGGCTGTGATCCCGGTGCTCCCAGGGCTCCGCGGCTGCTCCCGGGGCTCCGTGGCTGTGCTCCCAACGCACCCCAGCCCCGCTATAGGGTCGCTGCACCCCCAGCACCTCGAAAGAGTGAGGGAAGAGCCTGGGGGGCCCCGGAGCCCCCCAGACCCCAAGGAGGAGCCCAGAGGACGAGACTCGGTGCCGCCGCCCCCGCGGTGCCCGCCCGCAGGGACCCCCGGGACACCCCAAGGTCACCGGGGGTCCCCCAGCCCCGCGATGGTGGGGGGGCAGCGCCCGGGGGGCCGCGAGAGGCCCTGAGTGCTGGGGGGTGGGGGCGCAACGGCTCCATGGCCCCCCTTGTAAATCCACCCCGGGGTCCCGCAGCACATCCAGCAGAATCCTCCGGGCAGGATTCCCCTCCCCAGAACACCCGGGGACGCGCCCCCGAGGCAGGATCCCCCCGCTCCAAGGGGAACCTCCCCCTGGAGGGGAGTGGGACCACCCTCGAGAGGTCCCCCCGTTCCCCTCATGGCTCACCGGCCCCGGCCGCCCCCGGCCCCGCCGCCGCCTCATCCCCGGCCCGGCCGGAGCCGCGTCCCGGCGCGCGGAGCCGCGTCACGGGGCGGGACCGGGGGAGGGACCGGGGATGGCGCGGGGAGCAACGGGGGCGGGATCGGGAGGTACCGGGGGGAGCACCGGGGGGTGGCACGGGGGGGTACCGGGGGCATTGGGGATGGTACTGGGGGCGGCACCTGGGCTAGGCCCCCGTGCGGGGGGGTCACCTTGGAGGTGACAGGACCCCGGTGCAGTCCCAGTATGGGGGGCCGGGAGGGCCTTGACACCCCCGTGGTCTTGGGGTCGGGGGCAGAGCCCCAGCTCTGGGTTGAACCCAGTGGGGGGGCTGAGCCCCAGTGAGGCCCCAGGAGGGTCCCAGGACCCCAGTGTAGTCCCCAGTATGGGGGCCGGGGCACCCCCGTGGTCCTGGGGTCGAGGGCAGAACCCCAGCTCTGGGTTGAACCCAGTGGGGAAGTTGAGCCCCAGTGAGGCCCCAGGAGAGTCCCAGAACCCCGTGGTGGCGATGAGGGGGCACACCAGCTGCAGCATCCCCCTGCTCCCACTCCGAGCTTTTCCTAACAGCCGCTCATTCCACCCCAAATCGTGGATCCCTTTGGAGCCCAAGAGCCCCCCTGGAACTCCCCTCGCCCCCCCAGCAGCGCTTTTGGTACCAAAATACCTCTGTTTTTCTCTCCCAGTTCCCAGACTTTTGGCGCCCTCCGGTGCTGGTTCCCCCCCTGACTGCTCCCATCTCTCCCAGATGGGATTGCTCCCTTCTCTCCCAGAAAACCCCGTGTTTGGGGGAGAACGGCCTGACTGGGCTTTTCTTTCATTTGCTGCTTGTTTTTCCAGAGGGAAACTTTGCTCCTTCCAGAGTTCTTCCTCTTCCATGCATTCTCTTGGAAACTTGGAATAATTTGTTTTCAACCGCTCCCTTCCCAAGGAACAACCCCATGGATTTAACTGGGAATGGGACATGGCTCCTGCCAGCTGGGCACTGCTAAGGGTATTGCTAAGTGACCAAATCCTGGGAAAATGAGAAATCCAGGAGATGGGAAACTCCCTGATTCACCTTCAGCCTTGACCCGACAGTGCAAGCATCAGAGATGGGAATAACCCATCACTGCCCACCTGAATGCAGGTGTGACCGACCCCACAGGCAGCCTGGGCGTGGGAAACTGTCTGAATCCCCCAAATGCCGGGTGTTTTAGGCTGGGGGCCGTGCCAGCCCCCGGGGGGGGGTGTCAGTACTCACCCAGCTCGCAGCCGGGGGTGGGTTTGGTGGGCATGATGGTGCTCCTGCTGCACTCTTCGAGGCCCGAGGGTGTCCCACTCTCCCCTGGGGGGTGTCCCCTCCCTATTTAAGGGGTGTCCCCTCCTTCCCTCCCTCGCCTCCACCCGGAGCAGAGTTCTCGAGGGAGCTCGGAGGCGCCTCAAAGGCTCCTCAAAGGCTCCCGAAATCTCCGGCATCTCCTGATCATTAATTGACTCCCCATTAACCCTCTTTGAAGTGGCCCCGTGGCCGGGGCTGAGGAGCCTCCGGCGGCTCCGCTGATCCACGAGGGCCGGACTCTGATCGGGCCCGCGCGGGCACCGCGGGTCCCTCCGGTACGTGCGGGGAGGATCGTCCCGCGGGATCGATCCGCCCTTATCGGCCCTCCCGGGGGCAGCGATAACCCCCTCCCCAGATAAACAACAGCTGAGTGAGCAGTGCCTGGGCCCGGGAGGGGAGGGCACAGGGTGGGGACAGCACGGGGGGTGCGTGACGGGAGCCATGCGCCCGGGGGGGGGGCACAGGGGGGCCGGGGGCCGGCTGGAGGGAGGGAAGAGCATCCCAGAAGGATCCCTCCAAGGATCCCCGGGACATGGAGGGGCTGAAAGAGGTCTGAGAAGAGGCAACGCAGAACTTGGGTTATGGGAATTCCCAAGGAGCTTTGCTGGGGGTCCCGGTTCCCTTTGCTGGGGGATTTGGCCTCCCCCGTGCCCGGACAGCGGGGGAAGGGGGGGGGGGGGGGGGGAGAGGCCCCGCCACGGGCCCCTCAAAGGCCGGGAAGAGATTTACCCCCGGTGAAGCGGGAGGAGGGTCCCGGTCCAGGCTCCGGGCTGGGGGTCCCGCTGGCATCGGGAAGGGGGGGGCCTGTTCAGGCCAGAGGTCCCGGGGCCGGTACCGGGGGTGAGGGATCGGTCCGGGCCGGGGGTCCCGGGGCCGGTACCGGGGGTGAGGGATCGGTCCGGGCCGGGGGTCCCGGGGCCGGTACCGGGGGTGAGGGATCGGTCCGGGCTCCGGGCCGGGGGTCCCGGGGCCGGTACCGGGGGTGAGGGATCGTCCGGGCCGGGGGTCCCGGGGCCGGTACCGGGGGTGAGGGATCGGTCCGGGCCGGGGGTCCCGGGGCCGGTACCGGAAGGGGGGGGAGGGTGATTGGTCCAGGCCCCGCCCCCGGAGCACCAGCAGCCAATCAGCGGCCGCAGCGCCACGTGACCGCCGCCCGTGCCCGCCAAGATGGCGCTGTCCAGGGCCGCCGCCCGCGGGGCGCTCTGGCGCCTCGGCCCCGCCGCCCTCGGCCCCCGGCGCGGCCGCATGGAGCCGCTGCCCGTGCTGGGGGCGCCCAGGTGAGCGGAGACCGCCCTCCGGGGCAGGCACGGCCCGTGGGACTCAACCTCCTCAGGGGCAGCCGCCAGCACCGCAGCCCTGACCCCCCCCCAAACACCGACCGCAGCCCCCCAAATACTGACCGCGGGCCCCGACCCCTCCCCCTAAAAACACAGACCGCGGGCCCCGACACCCCCCCCCAAAAAAAAAACACAGGCCGCGGGCCCCGACCCCCCCAAAAAACACCGACCGCAGGCCTCGACCCTTCCCAATACCGACCGCAGCCCTGACCCTCCGCCAAATACAGCCTCCATCCCTTACTCCCCTGGTCCTCCCCCGTTACGCCCCCGGTACTGGCCATGGCCCCTCCCTCCCCCGCCGTTGCTCAGGCCCTAGTGCCCCCTCAGTGGCCCCCGTTACTCCACAACCCCCCATTCCTGCGGTGCTGTTCCCTGCCCTGGTGCCACCTGGTTTCCCCCTCCCCGAGGCCCCCGGGCCCTGGTTGATTCCCAGGCCCCGCTCCCCCCCCATCCCTGGCCCGGGGGGGTCTCAGGTCTTCCTCACCTCTCTGGGGGGCTCCCAGCACCCCCTCACCTCTCTGGGGGCATCCTGAGCCCAAAGCTGACCCGGGGGCGGTGGTGCAGGTGCCAGGTGTTCAGATCCCCGGAGTGTCCCCTCTCCTCCCGGGCCACCTCCCGGGCCCTCGTGGCTGCCGTGGCCGCCGTGGCCCGGAGGGTCAACGCCAGGTACGAGCGTTACCTGGAGAGGAGCTTCCCCAGGTTCTACGTCCTGTACAGCACCTTCACCTCAGGTGAGTCCCGAGGGGGAGCCCAAAAGTGGGTCCCAGGAGGTGGGATGTATCCTGCCGCTCCAGGTGGAACAGCAACAGCAGCTGCACCACCCCAGGATTCAGTGCTCTGTCCAACAGGAATCCAGGCGCTGTTCCTGGAGGTGAAGGAGATCGGCAGGATCAGATTCAGGATGTCCCGGCAGCGGCTGAAGGTGCAGCAGCTCCCGTACCGGGACATGGAGCGGCTGCGCCAGGTGAGCCCCCTCCCCATGGAAAAGGGCTGGAATTCCTGGGGGATGCACCTCCTCTGCCTAAACACAGGGACTGGGAGCTGCAGCCACCGCTGGGGCCGTGAACTGCAGGGACTCGCAGGGAGTTTGGGGGGTTTGGTGTCGGATCCTGACTCTCTCCTCCGTCTGGAGGCAGTTCCGCAGGGACGCGCTCAAGGCCATTCCCATTGGGATCATCGCCATCCCACCCTTCGCCAACTTCCTGGTCATCGTCCTGATGTGAGTACTGGGGTCCCTGACCCCCAGATTCCAGGGAATTGGGGTTTTCAGAATGAAGAATCCGGCCACGCTCTCCCTGTCAGGACAAACACCTGGATCCTGAGGAGCCGGGTGCTGGATTTGCTATCCCGGCTTCTGGGGTCGTTGTCTTACCCAAAGAAATCATGGAATCAATTAAAATAATTTAATAAAAGAACTATCAGAGAGACCCTCCCTGGAGTGTCCTCAGCCACGGGCACCTCCATGCACAATCCCTTGGAGTGTCCCTGTCCCCACCAGCTCTTCCGGAACCAGGATAAATCCCCACTAAATCCTGGGATTTTGCAGCTCTGCTGCCCCTCCCGGGGCTCCCAGTCCTGGTTAAGGTCCTTGTCTGTGACCTCAGCTCACGGGGGACATGAGGGAAGGCTCTGTAGGGGCCAGGCTGGATATGTGGGATCAGTGGGATCAGGCTGATGGGGTAAGGTCCTGCCCTGGGCTCCCCACGACCCTGTGGAATAAAATGGAACGCTCCAGGCTGGGGGCAGAACGGGAAAGGACCTGGGGGGGCTGGACGTGAGGCCACAGGCACCTGGCTTGTGTCAGCCACAGCGTGGGGACATGGCCAGCGGTGGCCTTGGCAGCGCCCAGGGCTTTCCTTGGCCTCCTCCACAGCCCAGACCCCACCTGCCCCGTGCCCCCTGTGCCATTCCCTCCCTCAATCCCTCTCTCCTCTCTCACCCCAGGTATTTCTTCCCACGGCAGCTCCTGATCCGGTACTTCTGGACGCCGCAGCAGCAGCTGGAATTCCTGGATGTCTATGATTCCATCCGGAGGGACTCATACCCGGACGTGGTGCAGAGCCTGGCGCTGGCAGCGCAGTCCCTGCCCGAGCCCCGGCCCCGGGAGCTCCTGCAGCAGCTCTGCTCCCAGGTACATCCCCCTCGGTCACACCATCACCCCTTGGGGGGGTTGTCACCTGGCAGAGGTGTCACCTGCCCTCCTGGGGCTCTTGCAGGTGCAGGGAGGTGCCCGGCCCCGCCTGGCCCAGCTCTTGGCCGTGAGGAGTTTGTTCTCGGGGTCTCCACTGATGCTGAACAGGCTCCAGGTGGATCATGTGGTGAGTCCAGCTCAGTGCAGGTGCTGCCCTGCTCAGGTGTGCCTCAAACTGGGGGCTGTGCCCCAAAACCAGTCCACATGTGGATGAAAAGCTGGACAGGTGGCCCTGAAATCCCCCCGTATCCTGGGCTTGTCCCCATCCCATGGGCAGCAGGTGAGGGGGGCTCAGGTGAGACCCCACCTGCAGTGCTGCCTCCAGCTCCCAACATCAGGAGGACATGGAGCTGCTGTGAGTGAACCCAGAGGAGGATTGTGGGAAGGAATTCCTCCCTGTGAAGGTGGGGAGGCACTGGGTGGGATTTCCCAGGGAATGCCCCATCCCTGGAAGTGTTCAAGGCCAGGCTGGATGGGCCACTCGGGCGGGTGGCAGTACTGTGGGTCCCACCCCTGTTTCAGGAGGGGTTGGATATCACCCAGGTGACCTTCCCCTGTGTCTTGCAGAGGGCCCTGAGCCAGGTGCTGTTCCTGACCCCCCACTTACCGGCAGTTCTCCTGCGGCATCGCCTGCTGAGCCACATCCTGGAGATCCGGCACCTGGACCAGGCCCTGCTGCGCCTGGGGCTGGGGCAGCTCTCTGAGGAGGAGCTGCGAGCGGTGAGGACCCTCAGCACCCCCATCCCAGGGCTGTGTCACCCCAGGTGTCACCTTGGGGCACAGGGGGGTCCCCCAGACCCACCCTGGGTGGGTGGCGGTTGCCCTCTCCTGAGAAGGTGTTCTCCCAGCCCATTTCCCACATTGGGATCACACCTGGAGCCACACCTGGGCCCCTCCTCGTGCCATGGCGGGATCCTGGTGTGATGCTGGTGCTCCACGTGCCCACCCTGACCATCTGTGTCTCCCCAGGCCTGTTACCTGCGTGGGCTCAACGCCACCCACCTGGGCCGGGCCGAGTGCTGGGCGTGGCTGGAGCAGTGGCTCCAGCTCTCCTGTGAGCTCCAAGGTACCTGCTGGGGACACACACACAGCGGGGCCCCCCGGCTTCTCTGGGCACAGGGAGTGTCGCTCCTGGGGAATTCTGGGGTGAAAGGGGGACTTCGTCCCACTCTGGGCTGCCAGGTGTGCCTGTCCCACAGAGCTCTGGTGGCAGATTCCATCCCCAGGGGAAAGAAAATGGGAATGGGAGGGAAGTGGGGTGCCCCCATGCCCATCCCAATGCTCCCAGTCTTCCCAGTTCTCATCCCAGTGCTCCCCTAATGCCCAGTGTCCCCTATGTCCACTCCTGTGCCTGCTGCAGGGCCCTGATCTACTCACTGCCCATCCCATGCCCATCCCAGCACCCCCAATGTCCCCCAGTGCCCCTCCCATCCCGGTCCCAGCATTCCCAGTCTGCTCAGGGCTCCCCTGTGCCAGTCCCAGTGCCCCCAGTCTCCGACCCTGCTCCCGTGTTCTTCCAGCTTCCGAAGCTTCTCTCCTGGCCCACAGCATGGTCCTGCTGTCCCTCAACTACAGCCGGCCCTCAGAGTGATGGCCCTGTGCCCCTCACCCGGCCTGGTGCCCCTCACCTTGGCCCTGTGCCCCGACCTGGTGATCCCCAGGCTGGTGCTGCCGAGATCCGGGCGCTTTGCTGAGCCAGCGTCGGGTCCTCACTCCCCTCGGCGCCGTCGGGAGCGGCCGCTGCTGCTCCAGGGCCGAGCACGACCAGGAGACGTGGCTTCGTTATCCCAGTAATTAACTGCATCCCGCTAATTATGGGAGACAGAGGGTGGCTCCCTGGCCCGGGGACGGTTCCGTCGGATCCAGGGACTTTGTGCCGGAGGCTTTTCCCTTGTTTCTTTTCTCCACTGGACAGTCTTAAATGTAACCCCCCACCCCGAAGGGTTCAGAAACGGCCCCAAATCCCCCCTCGGAACCCCCTAAATCCCTGTAAGACCTTCCCAGGAGGATTCTGGGGGTTTGTCTGTCCGGAGCAGGCAGAGGGAGGGAGGGGTCAGGGCTGGGAACATCCCCGAGGGGGGTGGGAAGGGCCGAGTGGGGGGTCCCCGGGCTGCCTCCTCCAAATTCAGCCTCGTTGGAGCTAATTAGACCTTTCCGCCTCTGTGTTTCCCACTGGGCAGTGGCGGCTCCGGGGGCTTCAGGGGGTTAAACCTCCCCCTCCACCCCGCCCTGCATGAGGAATTCCCGAACTTCCGAGGTTTATTAAAGCCCAAAGGAATCAGCGGCTCCGGTGTCTTTTGGGAGGGGGCCTTGGTGGCGCTCTGTCCCTCTGGGAGGGGACACTGGGAATGGGGACACCTGGAAAATGTCCCTTTTGAAGCATTTTTGGGGTATAAAGTGGTAGGACATTCCCCCCCCCCCTTCTCACTGTTTTTTGGGAATTGGTGACTGCTCCCATGAGGAATTCACTGTGAGGGGATTTAACCCCCTTAAAGCCACAACTCACCGTCCAATTTAACCACTTCTTTTTCAACTTAAATACTCCCTTTAAATACAGCGTTATGCAGGGCAGGAAAGGCTGGGGAAAATTAGTAATATTGTGGAGAAGCTTTGGATTCACAACATTTGGGAAACTAAAAATGAGAAAGCCAGTGGGAGCTGGGAGGGGGCTGGGGACACACCCAGATTTCAGGGAGCAGGGGACTTAGAAGCACAGGATCGAGCAGCATTAGTGTGGATTAAATCCAATAAAAGTTATATTAAAAGGCAAAGATCCCCTCAGGTTGCCCCAGGAACAGCGAAATCTGGGTAAAAGTAGAATAAATAAAGCCAAGTGCCGGGTCCTGCACTTTGGCCACAACAACCCCCTGGAGCGCTACAGGCTGGGCACAGAGTGGCTGGAAAGCAGCCAGGCAGAAAGGGACCTGGGGGTACTAATTGACAGGAAGCTCAACATGAGCCAACAGTGTGCCCAGGTGGCCCAGAAGGCCAATGGGATCTTGTCCTGTATCAAAAATAGCGTGGCCAGCAGGAGCAGGGAAGTGATCCTTCCCCTGTACTCTGCGTTGGTGAGGCCACACCTTGAGTATTGTGTTCAGTTCTGGGCCCCTCAGTTCAGGAAGGATATTGAGGTGCTGGAGCGGGTCCAGAGAAGAGCAACACGGCTGGGGAAGGGACTGGAGCATAAGTCCTATGGGGAGAGGCTGGGGAGCTGGGTTGTTTAGCCTGGAGAGAGGAGGCTCAGAGGTGACTCATCACCGTCTATAACTACCTGAAGGGAAGTTCTAGCCAGGTGGGGGTTGGTCTCTTCTCTCGGGCACTCAGCAATAGGACAAGGGGGCACGGGCTTAAGCTCCGCCAGGGGAAATTTAAGTTGGATATCAGGAGAAAATTCTTTACAGAGAGAGTCATCAGGCATTGGAATGGGCTGCCCAGAGAGGTGGTGGATTCACCATCCCTGGAGATTTTTAAACGCAGATTGGACGTGGCACTGAGTGCCATGATCTAGTAAATGGACTGGATTTGGACCAAGGGTTGGACTCGATGATCTCGGAGGTCTTTTCCAACCCAATCGATTCTATGATTCTATGATTCTATAAATCCTGTTACTTCTTGCCTTTTTGGGAAGCATCATCTGTCCCCACACCAGGGGATCCATCGGGAGCTGTCACCACCTCTGGGACACGGGGCTGTGGGGAGCAGCGGGGCTGTGGGGATGGAAGCTACAGGAAATAGGGATTTTGACCTTCAGGCTCTGTCACCCCTCAGCCCGTGTCACCTCTCAGTCAGTGTCACCTCTCATCCCCTGTCACCACATCCTGGGGCCCCGCCAGCCCCGGGGGCGGGGGCGACACGTTCTGCCCCGTCCCCATCCTGGCCCCGGCGGTGCCACGAGCGGGGCCGCGCAGTCCCCAGGGCGCGGTCCCCCCGGCGCGGTCCCCCCGGGACGGGTGGCGATGCTGCCGGGGCGGCGGTGGCGCCGGGCCGGGCCGGCCGTGCCCCTGCGGGCGCTGTTCGGGTACCGGTACCGGGCGGAGAACGGGCGGGAGGTGGCGATGGCCGCGGGGGAGCGGCTGCTGCTGCTCCGCAGGGCCACCCCAGACTGGTGGCAGGTGCGGCGGCCCGGGGACCCCCCCTGGGCGCGACCCTTCTTCGTCCCCGCCGCCTACGTGGCCGAGGAGGAGCCGGGTGACAGCGGGACCCGGAGCCCGCGGACCCCCGGGCAGCCCGCGGGGACGGGGGGGTGGGGCGGGGGGGCACCGGGCTGGGGTCACGGAGCTGATGGGGGAACGGGGTTGGGGGGCACTGGGAGGACGGAGCCGTGGGTTGGGCGCACGGGGCTGGGGGGGCACGGGGAGAAGGGAGCTGTGGGGCTGAGAGGGCACTGGGAGAACGGGCTGGGGGTCCTGGGCTGGGAGTCTGGGTGCCCAAGGCTGGGGGTACACTGGGGCTGGGGGACAGCGGGGACGCGGGGATGGGGATATTGGGGGCACCAGGGGCAGGGGGACACGGGAAACCAGGGCTGGGGCCCGGGGGTGGTGGGAGTGTCTGTACCCCCTCGCCGGCAGCACGGAGGATCATTTTGTGTGGGTGGGTGCCCTCCTCTCTGCCCCCAGGCCTGGGGGGGCGGCAGTGCTGCTCGCCGGAGGACCTGTGTGCCCCCTCCGCGTCCCCCCCCCGCACCGTGGGGACCGGCACCGGCCAACTGGCAGGGGGGGTCACCCCCACCCCCGCGCAGTGCCAGTCCCAGCAGGACACTGGGGTGAGTGGGGGCTGGGTTACCCCCCTGGACACCCTGTGGCCCCCAGACCTGCTCCTCTCAGAGCCCCCCTCCGCAGTTTTACCGGGGCTCCCTGTCCCCCCAGCCCTGCACCCCTGTGCCCCCATCCCCGCGCCCCCCCCTGCAGTCCAACCTCTCCCTCGCCTCTTCCCCCCCCCTCCCCCGCTCCCACTGCGGGGCACCGGAGGAAGTTGGGGGGCGGGGGGAGGGCACCGTGCCGGGAGGGGGGGCATTGGGGGGGCACTTGGGGGCTGGGGAGATACGACAGGGCAGGGGGACGTTGGCGGGCTGGGGGGCAGGATAACGGGGACACGGGGGGGGCACAGCAGGGCTGGGGGTGCGCTGTGGGCATTGCCCGTGTGCCCCCCCCCAGTTCGGGTCCTGCCCCTCAACCCTTTTCCCCCCCCAAGGTGTCTCCCCCGGGACCCACCACGATCTCCCGCAACCCGGACGGGCTGCAGCGGGAGGGGCGGGGGGCCGCGCCCCCCGTGCCGGCCGGGCCCCCTCTGCAGGTTTTGGGGTCCTGGGAGCGGCACCGGGACCCCGAGAGCGGCCGCTGCTTTTTTTACAGCCCCGAGAGTGGCACCAGCTCCTGGAAACCCCCCCGGCTGCATCGGGACCGGGTGGGCACTGGGGGGGGGGGGCACGGAAGGACAGCGGGGGAGGGAGGGAGTAGGGCGCTGCCAGCCCTCCACCAATGGGGTCTGCACCCCCAGCCCCTACATGGCCCCCCCACTGACCACCTCGACCCCTCCAGCTCCCACCCCCGGTCTCCTTTAGCCCCTCCCTACTCCCTCATCGTGCCCTCGTGCCCCCCAATGTCCCCTGTCTTGCTCTCACACCCCCCTTTTGCCCCCCCCCCCACGGCCCCCCAACTTCTCGATTCTCCCAAATTATCCTCCCCCAATATCTTCTCTCTCCAACCCGTGTGACCCCACTACTGCCCCTCCTGACCCCTCCAGTTCCCCGCCACTGACCCCCCCGACTCCCACAATGCCCCCCAGTTCCCTCTCGAGCCCCCCAGTGCCCTCTCGCTGCCCCCCTTGTCCCTGCACAGCCACATTGGTGCCCCAATTAGAGCCAGCGCTAACTATGTGTGGGGGGACAGTCCTGGGGGGTCGGTCCTGGGGTCCTCCGAGGCTGATTGTGTCCCTTGTGTCCCCCCAGGGCCGCCCCCTCCCTGCCGAGTCCCCCACGGACAACGGCAGGACAGAGCCCCGGGGGTGTGGGGGTGAGCTGGGGGATGGGGAGGAGGGGGGCACGCCGGGGGGGCAGGGCAAAGGGGGGTAACGGGGAGCATTGGGGAGGGTGTGGGGGCTCCCTCACACTGTCCCCACCCCAGCAGGTGATCCATGGCGGGAGCCTCGCCCACCACAGCCCTGAGGACTGGGGGGCCGACCTGTGAGTTACCCCAAACTGGGGGGCTGGGGGGTGGCTGAGGTGGTCGGGGGGTGCTGGAGGGGGTCCGGGCAGGGGCGGGGTCAGCCCAGACCCTGTCCCGTGGGAGGTGCCCAAGGCTCGGCAACTGCACAGGACTGAGGTTGCCAAGAAGGGCAGGAGGCTCAGGGGGTCACAGGGGGGAGAAGGGGGTCTACCAGGCTGGGGGTGTGGGGGGGCTCTTGTGCAGGGGCTGTGCCAGGCTGGGGTCCCCACAGAGGTTCTGGGCTTCCTGGGGCTGGGGGGCTGTGCCGGGCTGAGGGGAGGGATCAGACCTGGGGTGCTGCCACTGCCCAACAGGGCTCTGCTGGCATGGGGGGCACACCCGGCTGGGCAGGGTGTGGGTGTGTCCCTCACCTGCTCCCCCAGGAAGAGCTGGGGGGGCTTCTGGGTTCTGCTCCTGGTTGGGAACAGCCCTGTCTCCCACGAGGAGCCCCAGGGGTTGGTACCCCCGGGGGAGGGGGGCATAGGGGTAGGGGGCAGCAGGGGGAAGGGGCTGTGGGGGAGTTTGGGGGGCTGTGGAGGGATCTGGGGAGCTGTGGAGGTACAGGAGGCAGAGCAGCCCTGACAGCCTGTGCCCCCCCCCCAGTGCCCAGGAAGCAGCCCCCCAAGAGCAGCATGGATTCATGGGGGGCTGCCCTGGCCTGAACCCCGACCCCACAGAGCAGGAAGAAGGTCCTCCAGGTGAGTGGGCTGGGACCCCCAGCTGGGGCCACTGAAGTGGGCCCATGGGATGGGACCCCCACAGTGGGACCCCTGGCTGGATCCCTGGGCTGGGGGGATGGGGGTGCCTACACCAGGGGGTTGGGGGGCTCTCCAGAACAGCCCAGGGACTCCCTGCACATATGGGGTCCCCAAAATGTCCCTTGTGTCCTTCCCGGAGGCAGGGTGTGTGTGTACAGACCCCCTTGGGTTAGGGGCACCCCCGGAGCCCCCCGCTGAGGGGGAGCAAGACACCCCTGGAGTGCGGGGGTCCTGTGGGGGTCCCTGCCCCCTCCATCTCCCCCTGCCCACAGCTCTGCCCTGGGACAGGGAACGAGTTCCTGCTGAGGATCTGGGAGTGGGGCTGGGCCAGGGGGGGACAGGGGGTCCCCAGGGCTGGCCCTGTTCTCCTCCCCAGGACCTCTAGACCCCGTGGGCTCACCTAGGGGGGATGGAGCCCTGGGGGAGCTCAGGGGGACGGGGATGAGGCTCTAAGTGGGTTTGGGGGTCTGAGTGGGGAGAGCAGAGCTCACGGCTGGCGTGGCCACGACTGTGACCCCCAGATGGCCTCCCAAGTGCCCCCCAGGCCAAGGAGAAGCAGCAGGCAAGGAGCTGCCTCAGGCTCTTCCAGGCCAAGGGGCCCCAGAGCTTGCAGAGAGGGGGGAGAGGGGGCTCAGCCGAGGTGGGGATCCCCCCAAATCCCCCCCACCTTCGTGTTCCCCCCAAACCTCCTTTGGTCCCCAGACTGGTGGAGGAGGAGGGGCTGAGTGCTCTGTGAGCCTTGGCTGCCTGTCCCCAGTGGGTCACAGTGCCCCCCGCCTTGCCCAGTGTCCCTGCCCTGAGTCACCTGGTGCTCTCAGGGTCCCCACCTTGTCCCTGTCCCCTGTGTCATTGTCCTCCCGAGACCAATCCCAGAACTGCCTCCAGTCCCAGGAACTCCCTCCGGTCCAGTGACTCTTACTGGTCCCAGTGTCCTCTGCCAGTCCCAGTTTCCTTCCCTTCCTTCACACTGCCCTCCCTCCCCCCACCATTCCCTCCTGCACCCCACCATCCCATTTGCCCCCTGCCGGTTCTCTCCATCCCAGTTTGCCCAGTGCCTCCCATCCCCATGTGCCTCAGTAGCCCCATCCCAGTGTGCTCAGTGCCCCTGTGGGACTTTGTAGGGCCTGGGCTTGAGCAGGCACTGGGCTGAGCAAAAAAACCCCTGAATTTTGAGGGATTTTGAGGGGGTTTTGCCTTTCATTCTGGAAAATAATTTTGCTGCCTAGTGGTGCCAGAGCTATGGGACTGAGTGGCACTTTGTGGTGCCCCAAATCCCCCCACAAAGCTGCCCCAGCCCCTCTCTCCACAAATCTGGCTCTTTAGTGCCAGCCTTTACTTTTGGTTTCTTGTCTGCTCCCTTCCCCTTGGGGGGATTTTGGATTCCCCACCTCACCACGTGCCCAACAATGACAAGCCCATCCTGCCTTGCACCAACAATGCTCTTGAAAGCACCACCAGCCCCCTCAGTCCCCCTGCACTGCCACCGCTCACACAACGCCGGGCTGGGTTCACTTCTGGGCCCCTCAGTGCCACAAGCACACGGAGCTGCCCTGCTCCAGCCCTGCAGCTCCTCTCATTCATCTCCCGGCTCGGCTGCAGACGCTGCCCTTGGCCTCATCCAGCCCAGCCCCGACTGCCTGCGGGGACTCCACCACGCTTTGCACAAGCACCGAAAGCAGTCCCGGCACAGCCTCCGCCCGCAGGGCACACACCAGGCCCTGCCTGGGGCTGCCACGCAGGGAGCTGCTGCTGCCCTGGGGCAGCGGGGACGGAGCCTGGGCCGTGTGGCGCAGCAGGGTCAGGGGCCCAGGCAGCTGCCAGGCGGCAAGGCCTGAGCCCCGAGCCAGCAGCAGCACCGGGCCCTGCCCACGGTGCTCCCGCCCAAGGCTGGGCCCTGCAGGCAGGGGCAGAACCCCCTCCCTGGGGCGGCCTTGCTGCCCCGGCCCTCGGCCGGCCCAGCCTCTCCCTGTGCGCGCTCCCCACAGCACAGGCCGCACCGGGGCATTTGCTGCGGGGGCCCTGCAGAGCTCCCCCGAGGGAACACCTCCTCTGGGAGGTCACGGCCTATCCTCTCCATTCTGGAATGGCCCCTGGCAACCAAAGAACCAGCGCCCCACAGCCCCACGGTGTAGCCCCACCCCTGTGCCATGGGCCTCCAGGGCTTCCCGTGACAAAGCACCCCCTCCAAACCCTTGTCAGGTATGAAATTGGCTGACAGGGCTCACGGATGCTTTTAGGAAATAGGTACAAGCTTTTCTTGAATACTGGGGGGTCATTTTTTTAATTATTAGTGTTTAGAGTTATCCATTTGAGGGTAGGATGTCCTCTAGGCCACTGTTTTGTTCCATTTTGAGTGAGAAATATTTTTCAAAGAAATGGGATGGAGTTGAAGTTGTGTGTGTTGGCAAGAAGGGATTTCAGTTCAGAGAAATCAATCCAATGGAAGAGTCAGAAGATCTCTCAGTTCTGTGGGATGTGAGTGTGACACCAGTGGTGTGGAATAAGAGGTGGAGATTGTGTTGGGTGTGGCTGAGCTGCAGTTCCTCTTCCCACAGCCCCCTCCCAGTGCTGGGCTCTGCAGGGGGAGCTGGCAAGGGGTAGAGAACATGACCCTGTTTTGGCTCCTGCTGGGCAGGGCTGGCACAGCATCAGTGCTGTCTCCCAACATTCCCCCCATCCAGGGGCTGGGGGTGGGCACAGCCAGGCCAGCTGAGCCCAATGAGCCCAAGGGATATTCCAGCCCCTGTGCCCATGGCAGCTCAGATAGAAAAGCTGAGGGAAGGAGGAGAAAAGGGGGCAGTGGTTATTCCCAGAGTTTGCCTTCTGGGAAGTGCCGCACCATGCTGAGGCGAAGGACAAAATAAACCTTTTTTTTTTTGGCGGTGAGGGGGGAAGATGTTTTTAGGGCTTCCTGAGGCCCTTGGGGAGAGTGACAGGAATGTTCCGTTGGTGCCTTTCCAGACCGGCTCCCTCTGAGCTGCCCCTGCAGGGGGAGAGGTTCCCGAACCCACTGCTCTGAAAACCTTCCAAGGCCTTTGCAGAACCACTGCTTGGGGTTGAATTGTGTTTTCTGCTCCTTGCAGGCTCAGCTGACCACAAACAGGCCTTTTTTGTGTCCACCAAACCTGTAAATCGTTGCCCTTTAAAGTAACAAGTCAGCATCGGCTGATTGCGAGAGATTTGTTGTGCCCACATAATATGTGGTATGTTTGTACTGCCAAAACCTCCAGTGCGACATCCCTCTCACTTCAGACCTTGTGCAGTGAAATAAACCTTTTCTCCTGCTTTAATGTGACAAGAAGGATGAGGTGTCCAAGCCATGACGTGAATCTCCCAAGTATTATCAGCGTCAATGATTCCAGGGAGCACAAGAAGACCTGCATGAGTTGTGGATGAGCACCCTAACAAAAATGCGCTGTAACCGTTCCCTAGCGGTCCCCAAACCCCCGTGGGGAGTAACTGCACAGCTGTATCAGTTAACAAGACTGACTGGGAGATGACCAGGTCCACTCCGGCACTCCCTGTGGTGGCTGGCAGAGAGCAGGGACACGGGGCCGGAGGAGGCGGCGGTGGAAGTGGATGTGCGGGGCCGGGCTGAGCGCTGGATTTGTGGGCGCGGCAGAAGCGGTGGCACAGGGTGAGGGGTTTAGCAGGGCTGTTCCCGAGGCACCTTGTGGTGAGTCATTGTCAGCAGGAGGCAGATATAAATCTGCTCTTTTTCAGAATCGACCCAGGGTGGGTCAAGAGGATCACTGGGGTTTGAGTCTCGGGTTGTGAGCGGGAATTGTTTCTCTTTAGAATCATTCTTTGCGAGGGGTGCACCCACCAAAGAAAGTAAATCAGTTCCATTTGTAGCTTACAGGTGGCTTAATGCCGAAAACACCTGTTGCCATGTTGACAATAAATTTAAAGCTTTTTCACCTGGCTTCTGCCTCAACTCTTCCCCAATTCGCTTCCATACAGCAACATTCAAGTTTCCCTCTAGAGGAAACCAGGAGCAATTGTCACGTACCCAAACTAGCAGCGTTACCAATGACAACTGGCAGACATTACTGCCGTATATCTTTAATATCTTTGTGAGTATCTCCATCTGATTTTTTTGTTCCTGTGTTAGTGATTCCCATGGTTCCCAGCTGCTCACCTGCTGTCCTGCAAAGGTGATGGACACACACAGTCAAATCCTGTCCCGGGTCGCTGTCCTGGTTCAGCTGGGCTATGCCACTGGAATTCCGGCTATATTTTCTGGATTAATTTTGCGTGCTCCACTTCGGCGACATTTGTGGCATACTGGGGCATGGACCCCAAGGAGTGTGGCATAATGGAATAATTTATTGCAGTTCCTTCACGGTTTATATACCATGTTACATCAGCAGTAAATTCCTCTTGGTAATTTTTCTCTGTATCTGCTTTTTAGTTAAGCATTCACTGTCCATGAGAAACATAGTCCCAAGCAATTTCCCACACACAAGGATACATCTCACCACATCCGCATTTATCTTGCCAAGTTCCCCTTCTGAGTTTCTCCCAGGGTCATAGAATCTCGGTTCCCTACAGGTTTTCACAGCAGTGGGGTCGGGAACCCCTCTCCCTGCAGGGTCAGTTCAATCCAGTGTAGTGGGTTGGCTCTGACTGGAGGCCAGGTACCCACTAAAGCTGCTCTCTCAGTCCCCTCTGCAACTGGGCAGAGGAGAGAAAATATAACGAAGGGTTGATGAGTTAAGGACTGGGAGAGATCATTCACTGATCATCATCATGGGCAAAACAGACTCAAAGTGGGGATATTAAATAAATATATTATCAACAGAATCAGAACAGGAGAATGAGAAGTAAAATAAATTTCAAAACCACCTTTCCCCACCCCTCCTTCCTTCCAGGTTCTCCCTCCTCCCCACCCACTGCTGCAGGGGGACAGGGAATGGGGGTCACGGTCAGTTGCTCTTCCTGTCGCTGCTCAGGGAGAGGAGTTGGAGTCCTTCCCCTGATCCCGTGGGGTCCCTCCCACGGGAGAGAGTTCTTCACCAACTTCTCCAACGTGAGCCCATCCCACGGGCAACAGTTCTTCCCAAACTGCTGCAACATGGGTCATTTTTCCATGGGGTCAGTCCGTCAGGCTCAGGCTGCTCCAGCGTGGGTCCCCCACAGGGCCACAGGTCCTACCAGGAAAACTCCAGCATGGGCTCCTCTCCCCACGGGTCAGCAGGTCCCTGCCAGGACCCTGCTCCAGCAGGGGCCTCCCACGGGGTCCCTGCCTCCTTCGGGCACCCCCTGCTCCGGTGTGGGTGGATCTCTGCACTCCCGCGGTGCCCTGTGGGCTGCAGGGGCACAGCTCCTGCCCATGGTCTCCTCCTCCCGCCCTGCCCTCGGCGCCTGCAGGGCTGGCCACACGTTCTCACTCTGCTCTTCTCGGGCTGCAATTTCATCTGCCCAATCACTTTTTTTTCTCCTTCTTAAATATGTTATCACAGAGACGTTTCTGTCACTCCTGATGGGCTCGGCCTTGGTGGGTCCATCCTGGAGCTGCTGGAATTGGCTCTGTTGGACATGGGGGAAGCTTCTGGAAGCTTCTCAAAGAAGCCACTCCTGTAGCCCCCCCTGCTACCAAAACCTGGCCATGCAAACCCATATACATAGATGTATATTAATATATGTATGTAATTCATTTATTATATAATATCTAATATCTATTTATATTCTTATGTAATGATATGAATATATAATATATAAATGTTATAACTCTCTATATAATATAAATACTATATAAAAATATATTAAAACATATAAATATCTGTAAAATATATTAAAATAAATAAAATAGATAAATATATTTATATTCAATAATATTTTAATATATTTTATGTGCAATATAATAATTTTATGATAAATTACAGTTTATATATTTCTATTTATGTAAATGTATTTTCTATTTATATTATATAATACTTTATTTTTTATTTTATAATATTTTATCCTTAGAAATATTTTATATATCTATTTTATAAATTTATTTGTAAAGTGTAAATAACAATCTCAGAAGCCATGTATTGGTTTGATAATAAATCAATTATAGAGGAAATTTTTCAGTTCAGTCTTGATTTTTCAGTAGGTCTTTTTCCTTTGGGGAATTTCTAAAATATTCTAAAATTGAAAAAACTCTGTTAAAATAAATATTTTTTCTGATCCTTTGACCAGTATAATTTAATATTTATTGATTTCATATGGAATAATTAACTTCATCTTTTTTTTCAACAAGATCGAAGAAGGAGGAGGTGGGAGGCAAATGCTCCCTAAAATTTAATTTTAAAAAGTTTTAATGAATTAATTTTTAAAAAATATTTTAAAAAAATTATTTACATTTATTGAAGAAAAAGGAATTAAAATTGTAAAGGAAATGTAATTAAAGTTTTTAAATTAATTTTAAATTCAAGTTTTTAAATTCTACAGAGAATGCAGATGGGAAAACTGGCGTTCTCGTTTATTTCACCCTCATTTTGTAGGACTTTTTTTGGGAAAACCAAAGAATTCTCCAGGAAAAAATGGATTTTGGGGTTCTGCCCCCTCCCTCCACCAGACACAGCAGGACCCCGGTGAGTTGCTGGCCCTGCTCGCCCTCGGTGCCCACCTGGTGCCCCCTCACTGTGCCCGGAGCCGGTGTGGAATTCCTGGAGCAGCTGGATGGCAAACGGCACCCGGGGGGGGTCTGGGCTGCTCCCAGCCCCCTGACCCCTCTCACCTCTCTGGGGACACCCCCCTCCCCCAGGAAATTTGAGGTCTCCCCAGATTCCTGTCTCACTCCCTTCAAAAATTTGGGGTCTCCCCAAATCTTTTCTCTCTCCCCCCAAAATTTGGGGCATTCCCAAATCCTTGTGTTCCCCCTAAGCTCCCTGGGTCCCCTCAGATCTCTGGGACACCCCTCCCAACATTCCAGGACTCCCAATCCCTCTCCACCCTCCAGTTCTGGACTGTCCCAGGGACCCCCCATCCCAGATTCCACAGAATTTTTGGAGAAAACAGGAAATTCAGTCAGAAAATGCCATGTTTTTGCACAGTTTTGCCATGTGGTTTCAGAAAGGGATAAAGGTCATGCCACAAAAAGCAAAAATATGGGAAAACCCACCAAATCCAAGCATTGCCCTGCATTCCAAGTTGCTGCTATTGCATTTTGTGGGATTATTTAGGGGAAAAACACCAGGAAAAATCTTTGGGGAGGAATTTTGGGATCCAGCCCAAAGTCCAGCATAGGTCCCTCCCTATGCTGGACACGGCGGGACCCTGGCGAGTTCCCGGCATTGCTCAATCCTGGCACTGACCCCAGTGACCACCCGGGTCTGTGCCCAGCCAGTGACCCCCACACTGTGCTGGAATCCATCACGGAATTCCCGGCGGAGCTGGGCAGTGAATATCACCTGGAGGTCACGCCGGCGTCCCCGGAGCACCGCGGTGCATTCCGAGCGCGCCGGCACCTCCTCCTGCACCTCGTGGGGCCCGTGGGACACGAACTTAGCGATGCTGGCCCCGCCCACCCACGGCAGGGAGGTGGCGTTGGCCGCAGCCCAGCCCGTCCCGGTGAGGACCAACGGGGCCGCCCGGAGCGTCCCGCGCACGGTGGCCAGCGCGGGGTGATCTGAGCGCCACGTGTGCTCCGTCTCCGTGGCCTCTTCCAAGAAGGTGGACCCTGGGGCTGCCCCACAGCCTTCGTTCTGCACCAGAGCCTCGGCCAAGACCACGTCCTCAGAATGTTCCAGTGCCGTGCTCAGGTTGTAGGCGACGCCCACGATGGAGATGTCGGACGGGCCCGTCTTGACCACCAAGACTTGATACCACTTGTACCAAACCTCCTCCCCCCCCAGTGCCACGAAAAGCGCCCGGTGCTCCTTGGAGACCTTTCCCAGCCCATCCCGGCTCCGCCCCACGAAGACGTCAACCGATGGGCAACTCTCCACAGCATTTTCTGGGACGGTGCCAAAGGAATCATCCACCCAATCTAAGGCCTCAAAGCCGCCGGCGTTGACCAAGATGTTGAAGTTGGAGGTGTGCTTCTCCTGTCCCCTGTTTGGGAAGGAGCAATAGGGGCCCCTGACGGGATCGTAGGAGCCGGAATTGCAGCCGAGCTCCATCGTGGAACAGATGAATTCCAGGTGCCCGGTATGGCGGTTCCAGCTGGAGACGGCGTCGGGGGGAAGGCGGCCTTGGAAGGGCTCCCACTTGAGGTGGGAAGGGGGGCCCTGGTCTCGCTTTCGGATGGGAGTGTCTGAGGAGGTAATGGGGGGGTTTGAAAAAAGGGGAGGAGTTTTTGGGAAAAGGAGGGAATTCTGTCCCAGACTGGAGAGTGGGAGAGGCCAGAGGGATGTTCTGGAAGAGGTGGGTGAGGTTGGGTTGGAATTGGGGTCAAGGGTCAGTGACTGGGCTACTGGGAGGGGACAGGGGACACTGGGAGAGGATTGGGGGGCACTGGGATAGACTGGGAGAGGGAGGAACTGGGTCACTGGGAAGGGATTGGTGGGCACTGTGAGGGACTGGAATATACTGTGAGGGAACTGGGATGTACTGAGCGGGGAACTGGGATCACTGGGAGTGAATTGGGAGGGGCTGGGCATGAAATGGGATTTATTGGAAGGGGAACTGGGGTCACTGGGAGAGGACTGGGGGGCACTGGGATAGACAGGGTTGGGACTGGGATATGCTGGGAGGGAACTGGGATATAATGGGAGGGGATTGGGGGAACTGGAAGGCATTGGGACATACTGGGAGGGAGGGAACTAGGAGGGACTGGAAGGGACTGGGAGGGCCCAAGACTCACTGAGGGCATCCAGGAGCCTACTTCCTGGCACTTCCACGGCTGGAATTCCCAGAATTCCCAGAATTCCAAGGCCAAGCAAGAGGAGGAAGATCTGGGGGGGGAACCATGGGAGGCGTCACCTACTCCCA